GGGCGCGGGCAGGGGCGCGCGCGACGAGGCGCGCTCCTCGGGCGACGTGGGGCTGCGCGGGGGCGGGTTCCGGAGAGGGCTGCCTGGCCGGGGGTGCGCGCCTAGGTGCGTCCCAAGGGTCCCCGCGCCCCTGCACGCCCTGGCAGACTGTGCCCTGGAAAGGCGCGCCCGGCGGCCAGGCGCGGAGAACTGGCTTTGCCAAAGCCATTGCTGTTTTAGGAGCAGTGTGGAGCGGGTCTGGGCGCACATTTGGGGCGCCGGGGCTGCGGGAGGTGGGCAGACCCCGCGCACCTGTCCTGAACGCCCGACCAGATTCATCGTGGGACATTATTCGGGGACTTCTCTTGTACCCGTCGGTACCTGCTGTGAACCTGCCGACCGAACGGGAACCCCCCCCGCCCCGCCCCTGAGTTAGCACCCCTCCCCCCCATACACCCTTTCCCACATTTGTAGGGCGGGACCTGTCTCTCCCGCTCCAACTCTACGCCTCGCGGCCCGGGCTGGTTCTTTCCTCTAAGTGCCTCTGCCGTGTAGCTTTCCCCGGGGTCCTCCGGATTCGGGCACCCTCTGCTTTGCGCTTCGCCCCCATTCCTCCTCCTTTCCTTTCTCCTAATGCCGACTCCTCACAGTGTAGTAGCAGCAAGCGTGTCTTAGCACTTAAAAGAGCTATTTCCAGGTTCTGGAACGGAAAGGGGGTATAGCTCAGTGGTAGAGCATTTGACTGCAGATCAAGAGGTCCCTGGTTCAAATCCGGGTGCCCCCTCTGTGGCTTTTTCTCTCTGTCCCCTTTGTAACTACCAAAATCATTATTTTTAGTTTTTTCTCGACTCTCATATTTTAACACTGGCTCCTAGGTTAAAAGAAAAAAAGTACCTTCCTCATTTTCCAACCCTAGCGGAAGGCTTTCGGTTTTGCTTTGTGCTCAGTGTAGTGGGGAGGGTGCGCGCACAGATCAGGTACAAAAGCTGCCAAAAGGGGTCGGGATTTCTGCAGCCACAGCTGCCAGCCCCAGATATGTCAGGTAGTTTGACGTGCGGGATCAGGGGACAGGATGACTTCACCAAGTTGGCGTTCTGTTCCTAATGGGAGTGTAGGGAGGTGGGTCAAGAGAGGAAAATCCACAGAGAGCCCTTCTCCGACTTCAACTTCCTTTATTATATTACTGGAGACAGGGACATGCTGTGGTCACCCTTCCCTATTACCCTATTACTCATGATACAGGCAGAACGAAAGCACTTCGAGAACTTTAAAATGGCCAGTGCAGACCCATGGGCTCATTTGTAAGTACACACAAAGTTTTAACCTGATGCAACTGAATATAAACTAATACAGTGGTTCTCAAACTTGAGTGTGCATCAGAATCACCTCCTGAATGGCTTGTTGTTAAAAAAAAAAGAAAAGAAAAAAAAGTTTAAACATCCCCACTAGAGCACTTTTTTTTTTCTTTTAGCACCCTAGACCTGAATCGGTAGGTCTGGCCCAGACAATTTGCATTTCTAATAAGTTCACAAATGATGCTAATGTTACTGGTCCCTGGGGGTCACACTTTGAGAACCAATGAACTAATAATAATACAAGGCCATCGAGTTTTATAACCTAGATGGGAACAGATATTTTGCTGTCTGCGTGACTGACGATATCACTATTGGCCGGGAGGAAAATGTAAAGTGTGAAAAAAGGAGAAGCAGGAATGTCCCCTTCCACTGGGTTTTGCCCAAAAAAAGGAAAAATAAAGGAGAAGGGGAGAGGCATGCTGCCTGGGTCAGGGGGCAGCTGCAAGATATTTTAGACCTGGAATCTGGTTGTGTCATGCCTCCGGCCCCGGGGGAGTACTCGTGAGCCTTTTTTTTTTTTTTTTTTAACATGGTTTCCATTACTGTGAGCTGCGTGGCAGAACTGGACATGAAGAGAGAACAAAAATGCTGTTTGGTACCAAACACTACCGCTTTCCCCAACATCAGGCCTACGAACTTACAACCTGCAAATTATCAGTCGGAAGCCCTAACCTTCGAGCCAATGTGAGGAAGCGGAGCAGAGTTTTAACTTTCACCTCCTGTCTTCTGTCTGTGTTGTGTCTTGTTAATGGCTGTCCAAATCCTGTACATTTGGATTCGTTCTTTTAGTTTTCCTGGTAAGAATACAAGCTAGGCAAAATAATACTATTTTCCACCACGCCCTGCTCCCGACACGCCATTTTTATCCAGAAACAAAATTACAATTAACATTCAACCAGGTGATAACCAATGGGTTTGGATCAGCCTCGAAGATGAGAGTACTTCGGCGCCTTCATTCTGCTTTAAAATAGCACATGTGGACTTTTTGCCGGCGAGTGCAAGGCTCAGACTTCTGGGTTGCCGCTGTCGTTACATTTGAAAAGGAAAACCGAGTAAAAAACACGGCTCACAGATGGAAAGAAACAGAGGCTTTTTAGGCACAGTTTCAAATTCAGAACTGCCTGATTTTAACCTGAGTTTTTATTGTAACTGAATTGCTGTGAAAAAAACGTAGAAACAGCGAGGGGGCACCCGGATTTGAACCGGGGACCTCTTGATCTGCAGTCAAATGCTCTACCACTGAGCTATACCCCCTGCACGAAAAAACTTTCGTACATCTTTTTACATCAATTCCAAAATCACCTTTCGCTGAAAATTATTTGTTGAAAATAACTTTCTTCTTTCTAAGGAAGAGACACAATTTGAGACATCAAATTTAAGATATGGCAATTTGAAAGCATATGAATTTATGTACCAATCTGCCTTTTCTAGGCTCAATTATTTACCCACAATCCCATTTCTTTCTCTCCCCTAACAAGTCAGAGAACAACCCCTTTCAAAACTGGTTAGGGAATCTCTTTCCCTGGTCTCTCTAAAAAGAACACAAACACTAAACAGCTAAAAAGGCATCTCCATCTCCACCGAGAATAGTTCCTTAGCCGTGTTCTCTAGTGGTCCCCTTTCTTTCTTACTGGAGCACGTACTATGTGCAGGTTTGGCTCTAGGTGCAGGAGATACTTTGAATAGAAAGACACAGGGTTCTCATTCTCACTGAGTTAACAGTCTAGTGAGGAGAATAGACTAGAAACAAATGCACAAATAAGAAAATATCGAGCACTGGTAAGGAAAATGACTAAAATAAGCACAAGATGAAGCGTTAGGGAAGTATTGGAAGACTATTTCAAATTGAATAGCCACGGAGGGACTTTGCGGGAAGGTGATTTTGGAGTTAAGACCTGGATAAGGTGAAGGAGACAGCCATCTGGGAGAAGTGGGGCATTCAGGTACAGGGAGTGGCTACTGCCAAGGCCCTAAGGCCAGAATGGCTGGAGAAAGGTGGACAACGGGGAGAGTGATTCAAGAGAGCTGGAGAAGTAGCCAGGGCTGTGGAGGGCCTTGTAGACCTCAGTAAGGAGTTTCGATTTTATTCCAAACGTACGGAAAGCCATTGGAGGGTTTTGAGCAGGAGTTTTTTAAATCATCACCTAGACTGCTACTAACATACACTCAAAGGGGGCGGGGAGAACCATACGTTGAGAAAGCAAATGCAGAATAATAGAACTGTGGAGACAGGCTATTGACGATGAAGGAAATTAAGTCACAGACTTTCTTAAAATTTGGCATTGAGAAAGAAACAAATGGGCAGGCACTAACAGATAAAAGAATTTCCCAATCTGGGGAAACCTGTTGACGCTGGAAAGAGATGGGGTGGTCATTGAAGATGCCAGAGCGAATAATGGGGGGAAGTCTGGGATGGGAGCAGAGAGGGTCTTAGGAAAAGCAAGGGAAACACTTTCTCTCATTTGCAAATCACTGGATTGGGGATTAAATGTAGCTCAAGTTGCATGCAGGGAGGATGGAAATTAGACTTGAAGAATTCCCAGGCGCCAGAGTAGAAAAGGCTTTATTGATGGAGGAGAGAAATCCCACCGCACATACCACAGACCTTTAAGCCTGGGTCAGAGACGACTTCTCCCTGCTTTCCCACCGCTTGGGTTCAGATTACTTAGTAAAACAGGCGTGACAGTCTCTGCAATTTTCTTTTGGTTCTTCAGCATCATCCACTCTTTTTCTCTGACCCTGGGAAACCTGAAACAGTTCATTATAGACAAAAACAAAGCAAAAAAAAAAAAAAAAAACCCAAACGCGTGGCCGTAGAGTCAGTTCCAACTGACCGCGACCCTATATGGACAGGGTAGAACTGCCCCACAGGGTTTCCAATTAGAGGCTGGTAGATTTTAACTGCGGACCTTTATGGTCAGCAGCCAAATTGTTAACCACTGCACCACCAAGGCTCGGTGCCGCGAACTCCTATCAATCACGAGAGGCACTGTCTGGTCAGTAGACAGTACAATTAGGTTGTAATCTGGCTACTTACAGTAGAGGGGGTATAGCTCAGGGGTAGAGCATTTGACTGCAGATCAAAATATCCCTGGTTCGAATCGGGTTACCCCTTAAAACCTCCAGTCTTACAAAAGACTTGCTCTCCACTCTCAGAATATCCCTGGTGCTGCAGTTGGTTATTTGCTCGGCTGCACACCGAAAGGTTGGTGACTTCCGTAAAGATTTACAGTACTGGAAACCCAATAGGGGCAATTCTGGTCTGTCTTTTACAGCCACTATGAGTCGGAATTCTATATGACAGCAATGAGTTTGGTTTCGTCTTGGTTAATCACTCTCAGAGAAACAAAATGGAAGACAATGAAAGATATTGAGTGAATGCAGTTAAAGGCAGAATTAATTA